CAAATACGATGATTATGAAATAGTCTTTATTAAATATAAATCAAAGTGTTAATATATCGTTAATAGTTCATAAAAGGGTTATGTAAAGATGAATGCTGTGATAGTTTTATACTCATGTTTTTAATAATATTATTGAATTGATTCTTTACTTGAGTATTGACTTATTATTGAATAAATATAATAATTCACAGTACGTCATTAGAATATTTGTTACTTTAAAGAACTTTATTTATGAATACCAAATTATATGTCTCAAATTGTAATCACTTATTCATATTATAAACTCTGAGTTTCTTTCATCTTTCTATTATTATCTCTTTTATGAATGATGACTACTTTTCTTATTGTTGTTTAATTAGTAATTTAATGTTTTGTAAGCAAATTAAGTATATCTTTATCTTCTCATCAGTGAAAATTGTGTTTTTCATTTTAACTGCAAGTGATGGTATGATGCTAGCTACAATTTCTTTACCAAAACCTCTTAAAGAAGGAATGGTTTATAGACAGTTTTTAGTCTGTAGTTTTAATATAAAACGCCTATACCTGTACATTTACTAAATCAAAGAAAAGAATTTACTTAACTGTTTTACTCTCTTTTAGATGAACCACTACAAATAATATAAATTTCACTTTTGGTTGCTCTATTTAAATATCTTTTAACAGAAAAACATACAAAAAACTTCTAAAAGATGACTTTATAATAAGTTATTAACTCTCTTAATAATCAATAAATGTTTAAAATCCTCCCATTGGATATCCTCCAGGACCTGGCATTCCTCCCATTGGTGGTGGATATGCTCCCATAGGTGGTGGACATCCTCCCATTGGTGGTGGATATGCTCCCATTGGTTGTTGTGGATAACCTCCCATTGGTTGTGGTGGATATGCTCCCATAGGTGGTGGGTATGCTCCCATTGGCTGTGGTGGATAACCTCCCATTGGTGGTGGACAACCATATACTCCACCGGTTTTAGCTGCATATTTCATAGCATCTTTTTGCATATCCATTTGGTGTTCCATCATTTTCTTTTGAGCTTTATAAGCGTCTTTTGAGTACATTTTGAATTAATAAGATACAATCTTTTTCTTTTTATACTATTAGATCTCTTAAAAGAATCATCACGAACCAGTTCTTTATCATTGTTTTCCTCATTAGTCCTTTCAAGAGAAAAGTTAATCACAGATCATCATGCATGTTCAGCATTTTTATCAAATAATAACCAATATGATATAAATAATTATTAAGTTTAATTATTATTATTATTAATTTTATTAAGTTACTTTATAAAAAATTAACAATAATTCCCTCTTTACTACTATTTATAGATTATTAGTTCTAAATAAAAAATTATAGAAAAAATAGTTTTAAACAGAAGTAATTTGAATAATTTTTAATAAAAATATCTGCTAAATTTTTTTTCAGTTTCTCCTTCTTTATTTGTTCATCAATAACAAGAAGAGTTTTTAATTTCTTCTGTTATATGAATAAAAATCAATTAATAATAAAATTGTTAAATATTCAGTTACAAATTGAAACCATTATTAGAAACAGGTAATATTTTCATAAAGAAAAGAATAAAAGTCATAAATGAATTTGATAAACATTTATTAATTTATTAAAAATACATCAAAAGTCCAATATAAGTCTTTTATTAAAAAAGTTTTTTTAAAACATAGTTAAACTAAAAATCTATTTATTTGTTTCTAAAATATATAAATCAGTTGTAATAATTCTACTTATCTAAACTAACTTATTAAATAATATTGATTTGTTTTCATAAATAAACTTAAAACTATTTCAAATATATTAAATTGTACATAACCAATAAAGTAATGAATATTAATTATTATGTGTTTTATTTTTATTTATTTGTATTATCACAACTTTTAACTTTAAAACACTCATATAAAATTATAAAAAATAGTTTTCAACATATTGTAGAATAACAATAACATTATCTTTTACTTCTTTTTATAAATAATTATTTATTGTTATATATACCATTTTATAAGTGAATTGTTAAAAAAAA